GTAATGGTGCAAAAAGTCAAACTTTAGAGGCATGTTATCAATATTCTTAATTGGAATATAAATGTACATAAGCTTAGCTGCAGGAATCTGTGAGGGCAACGGACAAGAAAATTGGTGTAACCAGGGCAGGCTTAGTAACAAATACCATTGTATGGTTGTCTATATACACTAAACATTAGTGCTGTCAAAATGAATGATTAATCCAAGTGATTAATCAAAAAATTAAAAATTAAAATAACTCATAATCCTGATTGATACCTTCCTGATTGATATCTTATTGGTATGCACTATGCTCAATTATATAGCCTGTAGCAGGGCTTTTGAAGTTTTGAAGACAGGCAAGAGTGACAGAATCATGTGAACAATTCCAGGATATGCTTTTTTTTCATTGGTTGTTGCGTTAAATCTTACCCAGATACAGTAGTGCTATTTCCTGATTGGCTATTGTGTAGCCCCTTTCTTTTTTTTGATTGGCTGATAAGTGGCAGCAGGCTAGACTAATAACTCCAGGGGAGACCCATTTGATTCCTGCCCGTTCCAGTGAGAGCGGCGCGGCGCGGCGCGGCGCGGCCAGAGACATTTTGGGCGCTGCGGTATATTAAATATATTATAAACAGTTTTACCGTGTGAGAAATACAAAAGTCCGAAATGAGTGACTTAAGAGCCCTGAAATTAGTTACTTGAGAGCCCTGATATAGCTAATTGCAACAATATCACATTGCAGGTGCGATGGACCACGTACAAACCAATAGGGTGTCGAAATGGTATATGTTTATACTTATCATCCAACCACAATCAAATGCACTCTCTCCGGATGGCGCGATTTATCTGGATAGGTTTTTTTTGTTTGTTTTTTTTGAACGATGGCAAGCCGGAATGAAAACAAGCCGAAATGAAATAGGAGTAACAAGGCTATTTTTTATTGTAAGGAGTAGAAAGTACAGATAATTGCGTGAAAATGTGAGGAGTAGAAGTAAAAAGTCGGCTGAAAAATAATTACTCCAGTAAAGTATAGATACCCAAAATTTCTACTTAAGTAAGGTAACGAAGTATTTTGTACTTCGTTACTTGACACCTCTGGAGATGAAGACTAAAATTGAATATTTCAATATAATTTCATTCTTTAATATTATGTATCTGTATTATTATGTTTTATTAGTATTCATAATCAGTTGTATTATCTTATGAAGTTTAAAATGCATGAGTTAGACTATAGATTGCATGGACATGTGTTTAAAGCTGCAGTCCGCAGTTTTTCCTCTTTGTCGCCATCTCTGTTCGAAATCTGGAATTTCAGTTATTCGCGGAATTATCAACTTTACGTGAGTTGTACTTCGCACGGCCCAGCACAGATGAACACAATGTTTGAGGAGACTGTGAGGCTGTCAGTCGCCGCGCCGGTGTGGATACTGGCATTCAGAATCACAGATTATTCTTTTTGGAAGTATGACCAACAACATAATAATTTTCACCGGAAAATGTCATCTGAACAAGTAAGAAACATCCACTTTTGTGGCCGTCCAAATTATACTTATACTTAACTTTGTTCTCAAATTGTTAATGTTAACAACGTCAGCATTGAGTGACTACATGTAATGCCCTTCCGATATGTATCCTTGTTTTCGCATGGGTCCGGTTGCAGTCTCTTTTTTTTTTTCTGTGGCCACTCCGAAGTCCGAACGAAGTCTTTTGCATTTTACAGCGGGTGAATCTCCAGTTGTCACTAGTAATTGTCGTTTGAACCTTTCTGGATCCGCCATCAAATTGATAAGTTTAATTATATCAAGTGCTGTGAGAAAAGGCTATAAATCTCCTCCTCCAACATCCTCCAACTTAATATAGCTTACTAGCCGAGACTCCTTCTTTATGTGTACAGATGTGACGTAATGACGCAAAGACATGCTCGAATCTCCCGCGGAAATCCACCAGTACCACTGGAATTAAAAACATTATTACAAGCTTACCGCTTTGAATCGAGCTAAGGCAAGCAGATAGTTTTGAACACTGGCTGGTTATGTATTTTCTCAAATATGTATTTTGGATCATTTTTAACCCAAAAAAAAGCTACGGACTGCAGCTTTAAAGGAGCACTTCACCCATTTCAACATTAATCTTTATTGAAAGTGGGTCATATATGTAGTCGAAATGTAAAAGAAATTTTGAATTTAGTGCCCTCATGACCGAGAAAAGACAGAATATAACTTTAGGGCGCATTTGTATGTAAGACAACAACTCCCACAATGCACCACATTGCACAGCTCCACAAGCCACTCCCACTAATCCAGAACAGCGCAAACATCAGAGAAATCATTTTAAAACATAAGCAACATGTATTTGCTACCTTACAAGGAAGTTGAAAGTCGCTCAGTGTTGTATATAAGCTCAATCTTACTGTACTGATTCAGAGAAAAATAAAGGCATGAGGGGGTGAGGGAGGAGAAACACAGAGAAACCATTTACAGCTGGCATGATGGGGTGAGGGGATAGAGAAATGGGGAACAGAGAAATCTGTAATGAAGACCACCTCTCATGTAGCCTTATTCTTCTATGCTTGTTTCCCTCCTATGTCTGATGCATGTATAAAATAATAAATAGAGATCTCTTGGCAAAGTAACTGGAGTAGCTTCCGTGATTCAACAATAATGGGGAAAGCATGATTTTCAAATCTACAGGGGGTCCCTTACCTGGCATTGGCTGCGCGCCTCTGTCTGTCTAGCCAGACTTGGTGCAATTGGATGCTTCTGCAGAGGTCAGGTACGGATACCCTTCCCATAGGTGGATCTCTTCACTCGATGTTTCAGAGAACTGGGGTTACGACAGTAACCTATTGTTTTAATTGGACTAATTAAATCCTGTGTAAAGATTGAGTTTGCATATTATTAATTGATTGAGAATATAGAGATGTTTAAATTCAAGTGGGGTATTAATATTTGTATTTGTTGTTACTGATGATGGTCTTCTAAATTTGTATGTTTGAATTGTTTTTAAAATAAATATGTACACTCACCTAAAGGATTATTAGGAACACCTGTTCAATTTCTCATTAATGCAATTATCTAATCAACCAATCACATGGCAGTTGCTTCAATGCATTTAGGGGTGTGGTCCTGGTCAAGATAATCTCCTGAACTCCAAACTGAATGTCAGAATGGGAAAGAAAGGTGATTTAAGCAATTTTGAGCGTGGCATGGTTGTTTGTGCCAGACGGGCCGGTCTGGGTATTTCACAATCTGTTCAGTTACTGGGATTTTCACGCACAACCGTTTCTAGGGTTTACAAAGAATGGTGTGAAAAGGGAAAAACATCCAGAATGCGGCAGTCCTGTGGGCGAAAATGCCTTGTTGATGCTAGAGGTCAGAGGAGAATGGGCCGACTGATTCAAGCTGATAGAAGAGCAACTTTGACTGAAATAACCAGTCGTTACAACCGAGGTATGCAGCAAAGCATTTGTGAAGCCACAACACGCACAACCTTGAGGCGGATGGGCTACAACAGCAGAAGACCCCACCGGGTACCACTCATCTCCAATACAAATAGGAAAAAGAGGCTACAATTTGCAAGAGCTCACCAAATTGGACAGCTGAAGACTGGAAAAATGTTGCCTGGTCTGATGAGTCTCGATTTCTGTTGAGACATTGAGATGGTAGAGTCAGAATTTGGCGTAAACAGAATGAGAACATGGATCCATCATGCCTTGTTACCACTGTGCAGGCTGGTGGTGGTGGTGTAATGGTGTGAGGGATGTTTTCTTGGCACACTTTAGGCCCCTTAGTGGCAATTGGGCATCGTTTAAATGCCACGGCCTACCTGAGCATTGTTTCTGACCATGTCCATCCCTTTATGACCACCATGTACCCATCCTCTGATCGCTACTTCCAACAGGATAATGCACCATGTCACAAAACTCGAATCATTTCAAATTGGTTTCTTGAACATGACAATGAGTTCACTGTACTAAAATGGCCCCCACAGTCACCAGATCTCAACCCAACAGAGCATCTTTGGGATGTGGTGGAACGGGAGCTTCGTGGCCTGGATGTGCATCCCACAAATCTCCATCAACTGCAAGATGCTATCCTATCAATATGGGCCAACATTTCTAAAGAATGCTTTCAGCACCTTGTTGAATCAATGCCACATAGAATTAAGGCAGTTCTGAAGGCGAAAGGGGGTCAAACACAGTATTAGTATGGTGTTCCTAATAATCCTTTAGGTGAGTGTATATACAGACTGTGAGATCACTATTTTTGTCTAAAAAGAATTTTGTTGTGTTTCTGTTTATGATTCATTATATTATTTATTGTAAATTAAAAGCAGAATTTAAAAGTCAAGTCTCTCTCTCTCTCTCTCTCTCTCTCTCTCTCTCTCTCTCTCTCTCTCTCTCTCTCTCTCTCTCTCTCTCTCTCTCTCGACTGCGTTTGTTGCTCTTTTTCATAATTACAATGAATGGGGACTTAGATGCAAAGGCATCATAACATTTTCGAAAGCTCTATTCTAAGCTCTAAGCTCTATAAAGTCTATTCACATGCAAGAAAACACTGATGTGTTGTAGGAAGGGATGCCATCACTCCTTTTGTTATCTTGCTTGATTGTGCATGATTATTCCATGTCACTTGCTGGCCATGAGCTGTTTTTTGTGAGATTGCCCAGGCAACACAAGTATGTGCTTAGAGAATTTTGTGCCCACTCTGATTAACTCTCCTTCACTTATTCTATCTCTTATGTATTTTTCGATATTCATTATACTCCGAACAGCTGGAACCAGACTATATTTTTATGATTTCTATGAAACTTACTTTAAAACTTTTTCAAAGCTTTATAAAGTATCAAAATATGGAGACTGAATATTTGTATTTATTGTTTATTTTATAATTTCTGTTCATTAAGAGACAAATGGCACATTAAAATGATCAACTTCAACTTCCTATATTTAAATAAACATGCATGTGAAAACCATTCAGACACCTGTGCCTCCATGACACGGAAACTAGCAGAGCGTGGAGAGATTAGTCAGAGTGCACAAAGGTGCCGTTGTTTGATCAAACTTCACCATCGAACACAGCAGCACACATCGGTACAGATAGAGAGATGAGCAACACATGTAAGTTTACCTTTATTTCTTTATCGTGTTTGAGTCTTTAACTTGTTGAGTTGTTTGTTGTTCAGTTAATTTACTACCTAACTTTAAAAAATGTTGTAAATATCTGTTACTCACAAGATTTGCTTTAACTGGAGATATTTTAAATAATAATACAAATGTTATAACAAATTTAAATTGTATTATATCAAAACTGTGAAATCTAACTACATCTTTAACAGATTTAACTTTATCTTAAAATGTATAAATGAGCTACATAATAGTTGAATACTTTCATAAAATATAAATTTAAACTAGATCATTTAAAATAAACTGGACAAGGGAAGTTGTGGGTAGGGATAGGTTTATGGGTAGGTATAGGGTTAAGACTAATTTTTTGGACAGGAATGTTGTTCCAGGATCAACAAAATATGTTGCAGTGACCTGATTACAATAGAGCCAACTCCCATGTCCAGTTCTGTTGCCAAGATATGGCTTTTGCGTGTTGCTAAGGTGTGGCTAGACAGTTGTCCAGGTAATATTTCCAGAGCGGTGGGCTGCCTGAATCAAATAAGCCTACCCCCATGTCTCTATGAACTTTGTACTCCCCATGGATTATAAAAGCCATAGCACATCTCTCCTCTCTATGAGTCAAAATATTTGACACCTCATTCATGGTTGTATGACAAACCTGTGGGAGAATTTATGAGAAGTATGCAGGAAAATAGTAATATGCTTTGCATCATAAGCACCACTAACTAGAACAAAAATTATTAAATATTACACATAATTACATGTTTCACAAATATTTAGAAATTCAGAATTCAAATGAAACTCTTTACATTTCTAACAAAATTGAAGAACTATTGATGCATATTTTATTGTCACCATCTTTTTTTAGCGGAAGATCTCCTGATCATCTATGAGGTGGAGGCAGAGCAGTGGGCATCGTACCTGCGCTTCCAGCTGACAGGCCCCATTCCTGAGACTGGTATTTGTTGTTATGATATTGCTATGGTGACCAGTCGCCAGGATGACTTCCTGAGACTGGGAGAGTACAAATGTAAGCTGCTTATCCTGTCACGTGGCATGCTGGAGGGGCTATGCCAGCTCTGGCGGTTCTTTCTGGCTCGTGTCTTGCGCCCGGAGACCCGTGTGGTAATTCTCCTGTGTGGGGTGGAGAGCCTGGATCCTCTGCTGGAGCTAGTTCCACTGAAGGGGGAGGAGTGCCTCCAGATCTCCAGCGAACAGGACCCCAAGGACTATCGATTGGCTGTAGCAGAGATTGTACACAAAGGTGAGGAGGTGAAGGTTTGGGGTCTTTTTGGAAGTTGCTTGGCAGCATAGATTGCACTAAGGGGGCTGTCCCTGTAGTAAAAAGTAGCATAAGTCACTCTGAATAATTAATAGTAAATGAATAAATGTTTCCCTCAAAGGACCTCAATCATCTCACAGGTAAATCTCAAAAGGTAATGCTCTGCCATTAAAACTCTCACTAGTAAATCTACTGTGGCATTTTGTGGCATTCAGAATCCTGATGCGTGACATGAGGAGGTCTGATTTAGTTTTCCCTTCTGCAGCAGTGAAAAGTTTGCCACACGTTGATATGAGAACACTGTGTACTGTACTATCCACTGAGTGAGAAGCGGTGAGTGCAATTATAGTGTATTTGCTACATCAGTTTTGAGACTTAGACCCTTTTTTAAACCAGTGTTTAATGTGTAATAGAGACGAGAGTTTCACCACATTTAATGCCTGTACAGCTGCTTGAAGCTCAATCTTAAAACAGTTATGCAAATTAACAGCTATCTAATAAAGAACAAAGTGGTTGGTTTCACTTGTAGTTTTGCACCATATTACTCATAAAATACTGTAAGCCAAACATCATTCAGATTATAATGACAGAAATGCAGCGACGTGCCCGTTCACTGTTCTTTTACAGTTTGATGCTGATGGATGCTTCAGCACAGGACAAACAATATGCAAATGTGTGCACTTCCTCATGCGTCAAACTCAGTACTTATCACTAAATATGTAAATCTTGATCACCTCCTCTGGGAGTAATTTACCTTGCTGTGAAAATGGTCACTTTGCAATGAGGTAAACGTTCTCTTTAGCAGTTCTTATTGTTAGATCCATTTAAAAGTGACAGTACAACAAATGCTTTTGAAAAAAAAAAAAGTAAATCTGTACATTTTAAAATAATTCCTCTGATAACAGGGGTGAAAGGAATTTTACAATGTACTTGAAAGTACCTGCAAGTTTTCAATGGTTAGTAAGAATTTTTTTTTTTAAGATGGGTAACACTTTATAATAAGTATACAGTTATACAATAAACTATTAGTTTATAATTAAGTCATAGTTTATATTTTGTATACTCTAAATTGTTAATATAATCATATAATTACCCTAAATTGTCAAGTTTGGTTTTTGATTTTTTGTTTCATATCCATGTTTTCATGTCAACCAGTGGAATCCTTACACAAATAGCTCCGCCAGGCATCCTTTCTGTGGAGTTTGTATGTTCTGCCTGTGTCATCGTGGGTTACCCCACAGTCCAAAGAGATGTAGGTTACTGTAGGTGAATTGGAGAGTCAAAATTGCCTGTGTGTGAGAGCCCTGTGATGGACTGACCATTTGTCCAGGGTGCTTTCCCCTGCCTCTGGCCTAGAGAAACTGGGATGGGCTCCAGCCCTATGACCCCTAGGTATTCCTAAGGGATAGATAGATATGTAAAGAGATAAATAGTTTTTTTAATGCTTTGTGTCCTAACCCCTAGCACTAACCCTAACTGATGCCAAATTATAACAATGTGATATCATAGGTATTTGTATTTTTTCTGCCACACGTACATTTACTTACAGTACATTTGCAAAGTCACAAAATTGACAGCATTATTAGGGCTGTCAAGTGTTTAACATTCTTCAAAATAAATGTAAATAAACAGAATTTACAATTTGGGAGAAACACTTCCCAAAATATGAAATTATGAAATATAAAATTATTATTTTTAATAAAATTATACTCTAAATAAGAAATTAAAACTGCCAGTAGGTGGCATAAAATGTCTAAATGAGGAAGTTGTTGATTTTTTCACAGTGGCAGATCAAGATTCTTTGGTGCCCCTGGGCACGACACCAAACTTAGGACATGCATTAACGAGAACTGACAAAGGAGCACTGAAACGAGGGAACTTACACTGACAAACAAGGACAACTAATTAGACCACAGCTGAACTAGATGCATAATCAAATGACTAACTATGGTGACAAATTAATGAACTAAGTTAGGTGGGGAGGCTGTGAAAACAGAAAGCAAATAGAAAAGATGTGTTCGACATCGGCTGTGGCTGGATGTAACCGATTGGCGAGAGTTGCCACATGCAGGCGGGGAGGAGCTGAAAACGGAGACATACTTGCATACTTTACCACAGCTGAAGTGAAATAAATGCAATATTTGTCAAATACACAGACTTTTCAGATACAATTCAATACTTTATGTACTGCTTAATACAGCGTCTGTTTCTACACAAATAAAGATCAACATAATCCTATACTATCAATGAAGTGAGGTCTACGTTTTTTTAATCAGTTTTATTTTGATAAACATGAAATAATATAACATCACGACTACATGAAAAGAGATTTTACTGTTATAAAAACAGATTTGTGAGCATTAGTGGAACTGAATGTGTGAGAATAAACACGAAACACGTGATAGTTGTCATGTGGTGAATCCGGCCAATCGTGAAACAGCTGTGTCGTCATCCGAGCTCGTGCAGCCGCTCTTGAGAAGCTGCACTGGCTGAGTTTTCAGGCTGCTCTCAAATTGCTCTTGCGGTACTTTGATGGCATACACAGTCACGTGGCATCGGCGCTGTCTTAAGTTGTACAAAATTTCGAACCGGCATGCACTGCTTCAAGTCCTGTCAGTTTTCCCGCTCCTCGTTAGTGTTCAGTTCATTCACCTGTGTTTAGTTAATTTGCCCCAGCTGTGCCTTGTTTCCCTAATCTGTTCTCTGTGTATTTAAACCCTGTGTTCCCCCTCGCTCCTGTTCACGTTTATGTCAAGCGTGTGTTAATGTTCCTGAGTTCCTCATTATTAAAAATCCTGTTTCCTGGTCTTCTCATGATTCCTGGTATACCACGTATCGTAACAGAAGAACGGACCGTAAATATGGATTTTGCAGCAGTGGAGATCCTCCTTCTCTCCCAGGAGGACCAGTCCCTCGAGGCCCACACACAGAGGTATTTGGACTTAGTACCCCATGTTCATTATGATGACACCAGCCTCTGTTCATTATGATGACACCAGCCTCTGTGTGTTCTTCCGGGCAGGTCTCAACGCTGAGACCAAAGCACGCCTGCCCGAAGATGGGCCTTAGGGGAACTTCGAGGCTTTTGTCGAGTGGGTGCTGTGGCATAATGGGTCTCCATTTACCGTTGGGCACTGCGACAGCCCTGCCGAGCCTGCGCTCCACGTCACACCTGCCGAGCCAGAGCTTCAAGTCACGCCTGCCGAGCCAGAGCTTCACGTCACGCCTGCCAAGCCAGCGCTCCACGTCAGCCCTGCCGAGCCTGCGCATCACGTCAAGCCCGCTGTGCCAGTGGGAATTTTAGTGGAGTTTGATGTAGACTGGCTTATAGACTTTGACACTGAGCCAGTGTTTCTTCACGTCATCCCTATTCAGCCTGAGCTTCACTTCAGCCCTGACGAGCCTGAGCTTCACTTCAGGCCTGATGAGCCTGAGCTTCAAGTCAGCCCTGCAGAGCCTTCTCCTCTGGTCCCGTCCAGTCCCGAGCCTTCTCCTCTGGTCCCGTCCAGTCCCGAGCCTTCTCCTCTGGTCCCGTCCAGCCTCGAGCCTTCTCCGCTGGTCCTGTCCATCCCCGAGCCTGTCCCGGTCCCTGAGCACGTTCCTGAGCCTGTCACTCTCCCCAAGAAAATTTTGGGGGGGATATAGGTCTCCGCCATGGCCACCGGAAGGGGCGTCTCCGCCATGGCCCCCCGAAGGGGCGCCATGGCCACCGGAAGGGGCATCTCCACTCTGGCCACCTGCACAACCTGCTCCGCCCTGGAGGCTTCCTGTTCCGGGAAAGCCACGCCCTCGTCAGCCTCCAGGGCACCCACCCTCACGCCCCTATTTGATGTTTATACGGTGTGGGGACACGCCTTTTCGAGGAAGGCCGTAATGTTATAGTTATGTCTGTCCTGTATCTGTTTTCCTGAGTTCCCCCGTCATAGTGTTTTTGGTTTAGTCCTGTCAGTTTTCCCGCTCCTCATTAGTGTTCAGTTTATTCACCTGTGTTTAGTTAATTTGCCCCAGCTGTGCCTTGTTTCGCTAATCTGTTCAGTGTTTTTAAACCCTGTGTTCTCCCTCACTCCTGGTCCGTTCTTGTTTATGTCAAGCGTGTGTTAATGTTCCTGAGTTCCTCATTAAAAATCCTGTTTCCTGTTCCTCCTGGTCTTCTTGTGATTCCTGGTATACCACGTATCGTAACAATATACGTTTAAGATTTTAATATTGCAATGCAAACTGAGTATTGACATCATGAAAATCCAATCTGTTAATCACTTCAGACTATGGCCAACAAAAGGTCTTGCAATAACACCTCTAGCTATAGTTTTGTGAGGTTTGAACTGAAAATAAAATGTAAAAACTCACTTGTTTACACTCTGCCCCTTTCTACAACTGTCTTGCAAAGTACAACATGAAAGTGCAAGGCTGATGCTCCATAGTGCATTTACACATACATGAGTGAGGCAGTTTAATTTTGGTTGAAGAGTCACGCAACACCGCACAGCACACTCCCAGAATCTGTAATGGTGCGTGTCCACTGGCGTAGAGTTAGCATTTTCAGTTCATATAGAAGTTGAGCTTCATGCTCCAAATTAAGTATGTGTGAATCTGTTGGTAGATCGCGCGTCCACACGCAGAGGAAACTAAAAAAAACTTTCAATAAAACAATCAGTGAATTTAGAACGTTCTGGTGAAAGGGTATATAGGCCATGGCTATTTTTTTTTTTTTTGCGTGGTGCACCCCTGGACATGGTCCATATGGTTAATCTGACTATAGTTATTCATTAATTTGATTCAACAGCTGATTCATTCAGGAATTAAGTAAATGGCTATCTGTATGAATAGGCTATTCAAGCATTGGTTTACCCGATTGATTCACTCAAAATGCGGATTTATTCAGAAATGAAACTGATGTGTGTTGTTTGGAGACATGTGGTTCTGGTCTGGCTTTACATGTAACATTTTCGTAGGCAAAATTGAGGAAAAACAGACAATATTGT